TTGTTTTTACCACTCTAATTTTTGTCTTTTACTTGGATCATTTATTATATTTAAATAATTACTGTTACATGTAGGTCTGTAATTACTAGCTTACTCTTTGCTTTTAATGTTTCTTCTTCCTTTTCTTGCCATTTTTGGAATTTTTTAAAGAAGTGAATCACTTCAGAAATTGTCATCATGTACCGTATGCCTACTTATAAAAAAAACTGTAGTGGTATTTACTACTTTCATCTGCTTCCTAGATAATTCATTCAGAGCCCTTAAATGGTCCATTTACTTATATTCTGTCTTTTATGTTGTTATTGTCATAATTCTTTTTTAAAAATCCTTTTATGACTTTTTTATTAATTTATGTAGTGCTCGTTTAAAGTTACATATAAGCCACTATCTGTTTTCTTCATTCCTTGTTTCTCTTTTGCTCTACCATTGGTACCACATTTTTTCTTCTTAAAGTATAGATCATTCAAGATTTCTTTTTAGGAGTTTGTTTGTGACAAGTTATATCCATCTTTTTCTGATAATATTGTTATTTTTGTCCACACTCTTTTGACATATATTTTTACTGGGAATATAATTCAACAAAGAGTTATATCATTTTCAAAAACTGTTATTCCTTCTTCCAGCTTTCATGATGTGTCCACGTTGGGTTTTGATTTGTTTTGTTTTCTCCCTGTATATATCTAATTGGAGTTGATTGGGTATTCTGAATCTTTTAAAAATGATTGTTATTACTTCCTTGTATAATGTCTTAGAATCACTGTTTTTCTCTTTTCCTTCTGAAACATAAGGTTAAAAGAAACTATCTGTTTTTCTGCATCTGATCTGCTATTGAAATAATCTATTACAGTAGATAAGAACAAATTCTAGTTCTCAAGATACCTAGACTTTCTTAGGGAAAGCGAACTTGAAAATAGATCATTATAAGGGGCAAAGGATATAGCTCAGTTGGTATAGCATGCTTGCCTCTCATGCACAAAACTCTAGGTTCAATCGCCAGCACCAAAAAAAAAAAAAAAAATTAAAAAGAAATTTTTAAAAATTAAAAAAAATAAGAATTCAAAAAGAAAGAAATTAGATCATTATAAAACTATATAACATTTTAATGGAGGGAAAAAAGTATATTTTGAAGATATTAGAATGTGTATCTGTTTAGACTGAAGAATGGTTAAGAAAGATGTCTTAGAGAAAGTAATGCCTAATGTAAGCTAACAGTAGTATGGAGGAAAGCAAATACACCATATTTCACAGAAATGGACTTTTTATTTTTTTCTACAGTATTTGACAGAAATAATAGTAAAAGGTTATCGTAGAACTACATAGCATAAAGTATTTAGTCCCTAGATATGAAGTTGGGACTTTATTTGTAGACCAAGCAATAAAAATGTTTCAGTGAGGGAATTTAAGGATGTCCTGTTCACTAGCCACTTTAAAGCACAGCAATATATATTGGTTAAATGTGTATAATGACATGATTTCATAGGCTTATCTCTAGTGCTTTATCTAGAGGTGCATAAAAGCTCCCTGCTATATAAACATTAAACCAAGTTTATTGAATTTGTATGATGTATTTGAATTGTATAATGTTTAGAAGATTAGAAGCATGCCCAATTTCTTGTAACATCCACTCCCCCCCCCCCCAAAAAAAAAAAAATCCCTGTTTTTCTGTTTTGTTTGTTTTTGGTAATTTTGCAATAGATAAGCAAATGGAGATTTGTTATAATGGGTTTCATTTTTTAAGAAGCAAATATTTAAAAGTAAATTGAACTTTTTTTCTTATGATTAAAGACAGTCCTTAGAATGGAAAAATAATTTTCATCTTTTTAAAGAATTCAAAAAAGTTTCTGAGCTGAGAGAACATTAATGAAGAGTTCTGGTTATCCAAGTTTTGAAATATGGTTCATTATGAAGAAAAGTGTTTAATGAATATACTATAACCATATGTTTTATAAACTTACAATAATCTACACGTGAGAGAAGAAAAGTAGCAAGAAGGAAAGCAGGTTACAAGGAAAATGGGTAAAATTTATGAAAAAAGGTGAAGTATTTCTCTTAATTTCTAAGTTTAAAAAAAGCAACCTTATGAAACAAAGCATACCAAAAGCTTAATTTCTGCCTTGTCAAATATTTTTCTGATGGCAAATTATCAAAGTTTCAGGTGTTTTAACATTAATAAAATGAGATTCTGTTACAAATCCTTGTAAATTTCCTTGAAGATTAACTGAATAGAAATATCAGCTGCTTAAAGACTGGTAATTTTATTGAGGACTTAGTGTGTTTTAAATATGATCTAAACTCATAAAGGCTTTATAATTTAGAATAACCCCATTTGTGGCTGAGAATACTTAATCACAGATATGTTAAGTAAGTATATAATTAAGACCATACCCGTAAGTAGCTGCCCCAGGTTTTTAACCCAGGCATTCTGATCTCAAGAGTCCAGGCTCTTAACTGTAGTGTTATTTCTTATGTTCCTATAATCCTTATTAAAACTGTGAGAACATACTTTTCCATAAGAACAGTGTTACTTTTACAACTTCAGTGGATATTTCAGTGTTATAGTACAACTTACTGTACGGTACAAGAATTTATTACATAGTATCTCTAACAAATTGTAATTTAACTTTTGTGTAAATGTTTCCAGAGGTAAGTAACTTTATTACATATCAAGGCAAACCATTTCATTTTTAAATAACCCAAAATGTAAGGATTATTTTTTTAATCTTGTGATACAACTTTGGACCACATTACCTTTTACCCATTTGTTTTGATTCTCTGCCCTGTGGGAAAATAGTAAGTAGACAGATTTCATTTCATTTTAAGACAGATGTTTAAATGTTTAAACAGGAATCATCTCCCAAACAATACATTTCCATACATTTTTCAACTGAGGGTATTTTTTTAATGCATTTTACTCCTTTTTAACTGTGTTTTCTCTTAAACTCTTATATCATTTATATAAAAAGGAAAAAGAAAACCTAACTGTACCCTGATTTGTACTGTTCTTTTTTTTATAATAGATTCAGTGAGATATACTCACTCTTCCTACAGTGACTACTACCAGTTAATGTTTGTTGAATATTTACTGTACGCCACACCCTGTTCTAAACTCTTTACATGTAACTTATTTAATCCTCACAATAATCTTGTAGATTACATGCTATTTCACTGTATAGTAGATGAGGAAAAGGAGGTACAGAGCTGGTAAATAACTTACCCTGTGTTGCATGTTTGTACAGAATCTCAGTGTCAAAACATTCAAACCTAGGCACTCCTATCGACTGTACTACAAACATTAAGTAGTTGTTTTTTGAACTGATATGAAACCCTATCTATATATCAGTTTTCTACAAAAATGTGTCACTATAAAATGAACTTTTGTAGTAGTTCATTTGTAATTCAGTGAATTCATTTAAAATATAAACCTTTCATGAATTTAATCCCAGCTAATAACTCTTTGTTTCCTGAAATGTAAAATGTGAATAATATATATCTCAAAAGATTACTTGATGATTAATAACACACATATACATGTTTATTTGTATATAAAATTAAACTGTTACATGTAGAAGTGTACATACACTCATAAAATAGTAGAGTTGCTTACAAAGCCTCTAAATGTAGAAAAATAGCACATAGCACAGCAATTAACAGGACAGATTTCAGAAAAGAACTAAGTTCAGATCCAGGTTTTTTCCACTTACTAGCTGTACAGCTTTGGGCAAGTTTCTTCACAATACCCTACTTACTGTAACATTAATACTCATCATAGGACCATTTGTGAGATTATTGCTTATATTTTTAAAGCACTTAGATCATTACTTGCACCTAGTAAGTTGTATATAAATATTAAAACACTGTTGTTTTACTGTTGTTTATCAGTGTCATGCTTAGTATCTGTATTTTTATAATTAACAAATTATGTTTTCTTGTTTTTAACTAGTGGATTTAAAAAAAAATGTTTTTAGTTGTCTATGGAACTTTATTTATTTATATGTGGTGCTAAGAATCAAAACCAGTGCCTCACATATGCTGTATGTACTACAGAGCCCCAACCCTGAACTAGTGAATTTTTTAAAGAATATGAAACCAAATATGAAATATGTTCATTAAAGTAAGTCAATCACTTATTACATTGCATGGAGAGAAGAGAACCCTGAAAGCCCAAGTTAAGTAACTTGCAGTTTAGATAATTTTCTAGTTCCTTATTGCCAGAAACAGGCCTGGTACTCAGATCTTCTAGCTTTTCTATAAGTAGGAGAGCTGGTGTGGATAAAAATCAAAATAACGAACTTTAGTATGAAGAATCGTAGTTAACATGGTAGAATTGTTAGAAGTTAATTACTCCAAAATAATTAGATGATTCTTTTTGTTTGAAGTTTTTGTTTTTTAAGTACAAGGAACACAGTATACTTTATAAGACAGTGTACATGAATGTAAGAAATTGTGAAGGTTTGCATGCTGTGATTAAGTTGTTAGTAATTAATGCTGTCACTTTATTTCCAGAACTCTGTTTACAAAGAACTATCTTAGTGGAATTGGTGTAATGTTTTAATATGCTTTGTTCTCTAATCATTCTGGTATTGTTAAATTAAGGCATTTAATTGCAGGGTAGACTATTCACATTGCTTTGATTTTATTTAAAAATAATAATGTTGGAAAAACTCTTGGACAGTCACCTACTTCAGTTGCAGACTCAAAGTAATCACTTCTTCAGGAAGTGGAATCTACCCTAGTAAGTGGTCCTGCAACTCAGATATTTTTTGCTTGAATTAATTATTGTGTGTTTGTAATGGAATGGGATTCCATTCCATTTAGATGACTTCAAGTTCATCTCAAACCCTGTTCTTCCAGTTTTAAGCAGCAGTTGATCCTAATAAGTAACTTTTTTTTCTTTGGTGCTCTGAATTGAACCCAGGGCCTTGTGCATGTGAGGCAAGCACTCTACCAGTTGAGCTATATCCCCAATCCTCATAACTTTTAACATAATATTTTTTTTACAGATTGCCCAAGGACTCCAGATACTCCAAATAGTGACCCTCGTTGTTCTACTAGCAGCAATAGATTGCTGGCCTTACAAAAACAATTGGATATAGAACTTAAAGTAAAACAAGGTGCAGAGAATATGATACAAATGTATTCAAATGGGTCTTCAAAAGTAAGTATAGCAAATAAGTTTATAGTTGATTTTCATTCTTTCGAGATTCCATATTTTTTTTTAATTTGCCTACTTGCTAAAATTTATTTGTAACCCCAGCATCGGTAATGGTAATGGATTGGGAGTCATTTGATGGACATGCATAAAGAGATGAAAATGTGAGTCATCTGTCATAAATGGTTTCTTTTGAGATCAACAGAGTGATGCTCTGCCTTCTTAAGCTCTCATACTATAAATAAGTATACTTTTTGAAGTTTATTTAATGCCACATATTTTGTATTTTTGTATCATGCTTTTAGCTGGTAATTTCAGTGTTTCAACAGTATTTTATGGTATTTGAGAGCGCTTTAGCCTCAGAATTATAAATTATAGACAAATTTAAAACCAATTTTTCTTCAAAGCCACATTTGTTTATTCCTTCCAAAACTCAGTTAATAAATAATTTGGCTATATGAGTTAAGGGTATACAGGCACTCTGTATTTGAATCTTTTTTATAAATCTAAAATTAATTTAAAACAAAATATTTTTAAAATTCAGGCTATAATGTGTTTTTGATCACCACATTACAGGTTTTTAGAAAAGAGCTAACGAAAAGAGCATTGGTAATTGCCTGGTTTTTACCTGTATACACTTGGTAATTTCAGTGTTTAACCTCCAATGTGGATGTATAACCTCCAATGGAAAAAATTAGTATTGTGAGGAGCCACTTTTAATAATAAGAACATATTCTTGTTCTTAGGTTTAACATGGCAAAAAAAAATGTTGGGAACCACTGAACCAGATTATCATGAAAGTTCTTTTCAGCATAAGGTTCCATCATTTTAATAATTTCTGAAACTTCACACAAAGATGTATCTGTTATAAAACTCTAAATTTAATATTTTCAACTCATTTATTTTAAAAACTTCACAAATCAGTGTTTCTTCATATCTTAATCGGGATTTGTAAATAATATCAGAATAAAGTTCTTGTGTTTTTGTTTCAATTTAGAAAGAATTTGAAATCAGAGGGGAAAAGATCTATTCTTAGAGTCACTCATTGTACTTCCAACCCTAAATGAAATTTGGGGAGACTAACAGAGAAATGTATATGTGTTATAAATTTTAAAAATTAAATTAAAAATTAAAGTTTAATTATGAAAATTATATACTATGCCTTATTACAAAAGAATTTTTATTGTTTTTAGAGAAGTATATATTTATTTGATATTATTTTGATACTTGATCACTAATGTTGAAAATTTATTATTGGTTGATAAAGTTGTTATTTTCTGTACTGTTGTTTTTAATATTGACCTGCATTTGGAGAATTTTTCATTTTTAGCATGTGTTATTTTGTTTTTGTTCAAAACTATGTTCCTGGAACTGTGAGTGTACCAAATGTTGCTAAGCATTTTAAAAGTAAGTTAGCGAGTTACTGCCCTCTATCTTTCTCTAGTAAGGTTTTTAAATTTTTATTGGTGGATTAGTTTAAGGGTTTTAAGAACCCTTTAAAGTTATGGGAAATATGAATGTATATGTTGATAATTGATGGACAAGGTTTTTTAAAATAGTCTCTAGTCTCCACAAGATTAAGAACTGCTCCTCTAAATTGAGCAGGTATGGACATACTAAAAGAATTTCATAGAAAAGTTACAGTGACCACAGGTCCAAAATATGAGCACTCTGTTAAAGCAAATACAGATTTTCCAATAGCATTTTATTGTTAATTAGGGAATTAATTTGAGAAGGACTCAAATGAAGGTTCAAAGCCTATTGGAAGCTTCTATAGTCTCTGAGGTAGACCTAACAGTTTTTTTCTGTCTAAGCTTATCTTTACTGTTTTCATTTCTCATCTTTAAACTTCTCAAAGTATCAAAGTATATCTTTATGAAATTAGGAAAGATTTCAGTTTGAAATTATATGGACTGTTTATTCATTAGGGATTTAATTAACAGTTTAATAGTTATTATACTAGGTCCTGGGGTATAAATGTAATAAAGATGGTGCCTTGTACACAGTAGATAACCAAGCAATAATATCCTGCTTTTAGGAGACCACTGGCTTAGAAGAGTTACTACATGTAAATAATTACAATATGTAATAATAGTTTGCTCGAGTTACTTTTGAAACACCCTGAGGAAGGATCACTTAACTACCAGAAAAATCATTTAAGTCTTAGCATAAGATTCAAAAGTTGATTTGGCATTTGAGAAGAAATTACTCTTTAGGGATGATATGCCCAATATGTATAGGGTAAGAAATTATGGAATACAATGGATTCTTCTAGGAAATGAAAGCCATTTGATATAGGTATAATACAAGTTCTTAGCATGTTTTTTACCTAGCATATCTAGTAATAGAATATACTTTTAATATTAGTAGTTGTCAACTCCATGACCCACTTTGCTTGGGAAAAGTACTCTAGTTGATTCCAACAGAACTGTTTCTCACTTCCCCACTAGTAGAGCTTTAATGACTGAGACAAAGTATGAGATGTAACATAACTGAAAGACAAACCAGATTGTTACAATATCTTGTATAAAATTAATTAGTTGGAATTGCATATTATATATGGAACTGCTAAAAACTTTTAACAGGGAAAATACACTATCAGATTTAAAGTTTAGAAATTTCACATCCATCCTCCTCAGATTTGAAGAATTAAACAGAGAAGGGTAAATCTATAGGCAGCAAGTTAAAGTAGGCTTATAGTAGTCCGCGGGTTAAAGAGCTTTATTTTTCCTAAACAGCAGTGAAAACAAAGGAGACAAAGTCAAGCTATTCGTATCTGGATACGAGGTGAAAGGCACAGTCAAAGATGATTCTTAGATTATTATGTGCACAGACTGGATGATGGTGTTCTTCACAATGACAGCAAATTCACAGAGTTGGGTGGTAAATTTAGGGACAAGGATGATCAAATTCAGATTGGCGATAAAAGTTTTCTTCAGAACTTCTGTTATTTTATTCTGTAGGATAAAATTATCACCCCTGTACATGTTATAGCCGGAATTGTCCTTTTAAAATTTAAGTAGGACATTTTTACCTTCCTATTCAAAACCCCCAGTGGCTTTTTATCATTGTTAGAACAAACCTAAAGTCTTTACTCTAACTGTAATCACAGGTGATTTATTTCTGGCTATGTTTCTCATCTTCTAAAAACACTTTTCACTCTCATTATGCTGTAGTTATATTGGCTTTTTTGTATCTTTTGAACATAGCAAGCACACTCTGAACATCAGGGCCTTTGAATTGCTGTGTTGTTCTCATTATTTCTTTCCCTGTTTTGTAGCTTTCTCTCCCTGCATTAAAGACTCTACTCAGGTGCTGCAACATCTGCAAGCTCTTCACTACAATCCTAATTAAAATAGAACCCTGTCTCCTTATCTCCTTTCAGTTTTACCACTTTCTGAAATTACGGTTTACATGATCACTTTCTTTATCATATTTTAAACATTAGAATGTAAATTTCTTGTTATCCAGCTTGGTACAATCACTCTGTCTCCAGTGCTTAGAACAATACCTGGCACATTGAGATATTTTACCAAAATACTCAATAAGTACTTGTTAAGTTGATAGATTCTGCTATAGTATGCATTCATTACTTCTTACTTCTGTTGGCCTAACATTTATAAACTATTCTTTTTTTTTAATCTTTACATACTATAATTACTTTCATTTAACCCCTATGACTAAGATATTTCTATTATTAGTACAGAGATATGATGAAGGGCCACTGTTTTGCCCTTACCCCTTAGAAATAAAGAGTCATATATCTTGGCATTTTGTCATTGGGCAGTTGTGCCACTAAGCAACACCATTGATTTTATGAAGGGGGCTGGTATCTCTGAGGGTTCAATAAGGCATACTGAAAAGATATCTGCTATTCATATGTTCAGATAAAAAAACAAACTCCTTATTAAAATGTGTGCTGTGCTTCTTTCCAGCATTTTGTAACTTCTCATAAGCCTTCTCATACTTTTTCCTAATTTGGATATACTGACTATCCATCTCTATCTACCCTAACCACCAACCCTCCAGTCTTTTTAAGTTTTATTAAGATCCAATTAATATACAAAAGTTTGGAAATATGTATAAACTCTTGAGACCATCACCATAATTAACATGCTTCCATATTTTTCCCTGTATTCTTTTGTGGATGTTTTGTTGTTGTTGTTGTTTCTCTTTTTTGGTCTTGGATAGAAGTTTTGTATTTGGGGGTTTTTTTTGTTTGATTTTGTGTTATGACTACTTGACATGAGAGGTCCTCCAATCTTCACATATTTGAATTTAACTTGATGTTAACAATCTAGAAAAACTTTCTAAATTCTACCCGCAAAAAATGATCCCACCTTTCTTTGACATTTTCTTTGTCTGCTTTTAACTTTCTGATACATGTAATTATTATATCTCCTTAATTAAACTATGTGTTTTATAAAGAAACATTCTGACTATTCATATTTTCACTGGTCTGACAACATTTAGCATATGGAAAGTAAGCAATAAATATATTATAGAAAAAATAAAACAATAGTTGGTTTATTTATTTGAAAGTTTTATGTGTGTGAGATGTAGTTTGTTATCCAACTGTGACTTTAGAACAAAATTTAATATCCCATGGTGACTTGCAAAGTAGTAGGGTTTTTTAATATAAAATAATGTATAACTTGAAAACATTACAGAATTTATAATTTTTATTTATAGTTATAAAATATTATCCATTCCAAATATAATCACCAGACATTGCAGAGTGCTAATAATTAAGTTATTTAAACTAGTCTATTAAATTGAACCATTTTAGTTCAAAATCAGTCAAATGTTGGCATTTTCATGTGATTCAACCTAATAAATAAAAATTTTCCCAAAGTCTTCATCAACATAAAAGTCAATTATTCTCATACATTTGGGCCCACCTTCTCTTGCCTTCTACAAATTAGGTGCTAAATTAAGAAAACCCATTTGATTCCTGAGAGCATAACTTATAGTGAAAATTCATTAAATGCTAGAAAGCATAAAATTGATATGTAGTAACTGTACATTGCCTGATTTGGGGGAGCCACTCTGAATAACCCATGCCTTCCAGTCCTGAAGCAAGAGGCTCTGACCAGTCACTACATTTGTGGTGACTTGGGCGTTGTCCCAGCTCGGATAGCAAAGGCCTGTCTTCAGATGTAGGTGTTACCTTCCAGGGTTGAGCTACACTCAGGTGTCCTTTGTAACCCTGCCCCTTCTGGCCTTTTTTGGATAGAACTTTCTAAGAACAAGAATTCCCCCAATAAAAGCTCACTTCCGAATGTGCTCGCTCTCTCTTGCCAGCCTCTCAGTGACTTTCCCTTGCTCTGCCTTTTGGGGAGCCTGAGGCTGAGAGCAGAGAAGCTGTCTGAAGCTTATTTAAAGGTAAAGTGTGTCTGCGTTTTATTTGGTGTTACTGCACATTCAAGCAAGCTATCTTAAGTTCAGCTGCCCATGCAGGTCAGGGGCGGCAGTAGATGATATCCAAAATCAGTTTTAAAAGCCTCCATTATACATTGACTTCTGTGCATATCCCCTAGAAGTCTGGGTGGAGAAAATTTACTTTCTTATAAATTAATACAAGTGCTATTACTTGCATGTTGACTTGAAATAATTAAGAAAAATAGTATTTCTAAAGAAATAAATAACAATTGTCATTTCACAAAATGATAAAATAATAAAAAGAGCAGCATACTTGAAAAGCATGTTACTGTATAGTTTTCTTAGTATTTATACTTACTATTAAAACTTAATTGAGGGGTTGGGGATGTGGCTCAAGCGGTAGCTCGCTCGCCTGGCATGCGTGCGGCCCGGGTTCAATCCTCAGCACCACATACAAACAAAGATGTTGTGTCTGCCGAAAACTGAAAAATAAATATTAAAAATAAATAAATAAAACTTAATTGAAATAAGATACTTAACCATTCTTTTTATTGCTCTACAAGAGAATGTTTTAATGCCAATTAAATACTTAGTAATATAATTTTACTATCATCTAATGCTTACAAAAGCTATGTTTTAGGGTAATGTCCCCTTTTATACAGTTTCTTCAAGAAACCCAAGGCTTTCATAAGATGGCCAATTTTACATATTACAATTTGAGCTGATGTCTGTCTGATGGCAGAATATTAATTGTGAGTTTTGAGATACTAAGTTTTTCTCTTACTCTGGTCTGATCTCAAAGAGTAATATCTTCCATTTGTCTGATATTCCTACTACTAGTAGGTAGAAAAACTACCATAGGAAAATGTACTTTCCTTTTAAATTTGGAAGGTGACTAGTTAACATTCATGAAAGCATATATAATGTGTCACAGACAAATGCCAAATTCAAGCTATTCTTCTTAATAAACCACAATTATCAAATGTGTATGTGGTATTTGTGTGTATATGCCTACTTTATGGGCTAAACTGATATCTAAGGTAAGCTATTGGAGCTCAACTCCTTGGTGTGAAATCTAATACTTTATTAGAGAGTAAAATCTGGCTAGAAGCTCCTTAAACCAATGACTTGGGGAATAGGAAAGAAGTGGAAGAAAAATTTATAAATTGCTAATTGTTTTTTCCTCCATGATATATATTACTCTGTTTGATATTTGACAGAATATTTTTAGCTCACTTTTCTTCTCTTATATAAAAGCAAAATCACTATCTTACCATTTGTATCTTCTTTCTCCCCTTTACACAGTGTCATAACAGTGTATGTATGTGTTTGGTTTATTGAAATGAAACTGCCCAGCTGATGCTTATCTCTTTCTCCCCCTTAACTTTGATAGGTTCTGGTGTTAGGAGAAGTTGATTATTTGCTGTTTTATTTCCAAATTAATACATATTTCCTAAGTAATAAAGGTACAGATACTTAATAATCTGTAAAGATCGCCTTTCTTTGTGCATAAGTATTTCCTAACCTGATACTTACTTTTATCTATTATTTATTTTTTTTCTGTAGATACCCATATTGACAACTAATATAACTCTCCAAGCAAATGATATTAACTTATGATATTTTAAAGTTCCAAATTAGTTTTCTATGGTTGTTGTAATAAATTCTCACAAATTTAGTGGCCTAAAGCAACACATTTATTATGTTACAATTTGGTAGTTATTCTGTCTTAAGTAGATATCACTGAGCTAAAATCAAGGCATTACTGGGTGCAGTGGTGCTGGCCCATAATCCCAGTGGCTCGGAGACTGAGGCATGAGGATTTGAGTTCAAAGCTAGCCTTGGCAACAGTGAGGCACTAACCAACTCAGTGAGATCCTGTCTCTAATTAAAATACAAAACAGGGCTGGGGATGTGGCTCAGTGGTTAAGTGCCCCTGAGTTCAATCCCCAATACCAAAAAAATAAAATAAAATAAAGGTGTTAGCAAGGCTACATTCCCTCCTGAATGATTCAGAAGAGAATCTGGTTCCTTGCTTTTTCTAACTCCTGGAGACTGTCTGCTTTCTTTGGTCCATGTGTTTATAAAAAACAAAAGAGTAGCGAGTATTATTTACTTATTTTCTTTCAGATTTTTTTTTTAATTATGGAGTTGTTTTTCTGTTATATGGCTTTTTAAAAAATTTTTTGTAAATGTATCTACAAGTACTGGTATGAGTTGATTTATTTAAAAGATAGAAGAATGTTTCATTTGTCCCTTTATCTGCTTACCTTTTCAAACTTACTTTTAATAGGATCGGAAACTCCATGGTACAGCTCAGCAACTGCTCCAGGACAGCAAGACAAAAATAGAAGTCATACGAATGCAGATTCTTCAGGCAGTCCAGACCAATGAATTGGCTTTTGATAATGGTGATGGAATAGAGATATAATGTCATTATCCTTTTATGGGCCTAGAGTGCTAAGTAAATCTTATAGTGAAGAGACAGTGGTTCAAAGTTAAGGGGGAGAAAGCATTGTAGGGTTTTTTTGTTTTGTTTTGGTTTTTGTTTTGTGTCATGTCTTATAGATTTTACTCTCTTCACATGGGACAGATGGTTTCAGATACTTGAACCTCATATTTCAGGAATATATTGACCTAGAAGGTATTTCTTCATTTTAATAAAGTATCAGCACTTTATATTTTTTTAATTTGTTTCTGCCTATGTAAGAGTATGGCTTTGTTTTGTTCTTTTTGTTATGTATAGTTTTTGTTTTTGTTTTTTATTCCAGAGGGAAACTTTATGGTTAGTTGCTACAAGTAGGACTAGAAACTGTAGTTTTCCCTTGGTACCTTTGGGGGATTGAGGCCAGGATCTCTGATGGATACCAAAACCTACCGATGTTCTGGTCCTTTATATAAAATTGCATAGTATTTGCATAAAATGAATGCATATCCCACAGGCTTTAAATTATCTCTAAATTACTTATAGTATCTAATACAATGTAGATGCTATATAAATAGCTTTTACAGTGTAACAGCTGGATATTGATTATACATACACACACACTTTTTTTTAACTTATTCAACACATGAGCACTTTTTTAAAAAAATCATTTTTGAGCCTGGGATGATTTGAATCTCTTGATGTAGAGCCTATAAGTATGAAGTAACAACTGTGTTTTGGTCTCATGATGTTATCATAATAAATTCAATTCTAAAATCTTTTTTTTCTGTCAAATTTGTGATTTAGATTCATAATGACTAAATGGAAGGCTCTGAATTTAAACCTTGAGTTTATTATTACTTCAGTGGTTTTTTTTTTTTTTTTTTTTTTTTTTTGATAGTAGGGATTGAACCTAGGGGCATTTAATCATAGAGCTGCATTCCTAGCACTTTTTATTTTTTATTTTGAGACAGGGTCTCACTAAGTTACTTAGGGCCTCTCTAAGTTGCTGAGTCTGGCCTCAAACTTGTAATCCTCCTTCCTCAGCCTCCCAAGTCGCTGGGATTACAAGCATGCGCCACCATGCCTGGCATTGTTTCAGTGTTTATTGATTTAAGGACTAACTTTTTCTAATGTTTGAGGAATTTGTTTCTTTTTCATGTTTTTTAATCACACAAGTTAGAAAGTCAAATAAATGTTCAATTAATGAAACTTTGTGTTTCTCCCCCCCCCTCCCCCCCCTTTAGCAAAACCAGTGATAAGTCCTCTTGAACTTCGGATGGAAGAATTAAGGCATCATTTTAGGATAGAGTTTGCAGTAGCAGAAGGTGCAAAGAATGTAATGAAATTACTCGGCTCAGGAAAAGTAACAGACAGAAAAGCACTTTCAGAAGTAATTTTAAATAAATATTTTAGTATATTTTAGTATATTATTCAAAGAATGTGATTATTTAAGCAACAATAATTGTCTTTTTCACTTGCAAGGCTCAAGCAAGATTTAATGAATCAAGTCAGAAGTTGGATCTTTTAAAGTACTCATTAGAGCAAAGATTAAATGAACTTCCTAAGAATCATCCTAAAAGCAGTATTATTATTGAGGAGCTTTCACTTGTTGCATCACCAACACTAAGTCCACGGCAAAGCATGATATCTACACAAAACCAATATAGTACATTATCTAAACCAGCAGCATTAACAGGTATGTAGCACACATCTCTCCTGTTTTTTAAGTTGTTTTGTGTGTATATGTGTGTGGCCCTGGGGAAATCGTTGTGTGCAGATGTTTTTTTAAATTATGGGAAGATTTGCATAACATAAAATTTATTTGTTTTAATCATCTTACATTATACAACTCAAAGGGAGGTAATATGTTCTTAATGTTGTGCAACTATCACCACTATATAGTTCTAGAACATTTTTATCATTTTGTAAGGAAACCTATACCCATTAAGCAGGCACTCCCTTTTCCCTTTCTTCCTATCCCTCTGGCAAACACTTATTGGCTTTTTGTCTCTATGCATTTATTTGTTCTAGATACTTCATATAAGCAGAATCATATAATTTGTAGCCTTTGCATCTGTCGTATTTCATTTAGCATATACTCCTTTCAAAGTTCACTTAGTACTTTATTCCCTTTATGGCTGAATAATATTCAACTTCATGGATATATATCACATTTGCTTAACCACTTGTCAGGACATTTGGGTTCTTTCTACTTTTGACTCTTGTAAATAATGCCACTATGAAAATTTGTGTGCAGGTTTTGGTTTAAGCACTTGTTTCCAATTTTTATTTTGGCAGGGGGTGGTATGTATATACTTAGGAATGTAATTACTAGGTCATATATTAACTCTATTTCTAAGAGGTAGTTGTTTGTTTGTTTGTTTTTTCCTGTGATACAGGTGATTGAACCACTGAGCTTCAGTCCCAACCCATTTTTATTTTTGAAACAGGGTCTTGCTATGTTGCCAAGGCTGGGCTCAAGCTTGCAGTCCTCCTACTTCAACCTCCCAAGTATCTGAGGTTATAATCATGCACCACCTTGATTAACATATATAAAAGTAGTGTATGGAGTGTTCCTGTTTCTGTCCATTCTCCCAATACTTTTCTTTTACTTCTTTTTGATTATAGCTATAATATTATGTCCTCCATTGTTGAAAGTAAAGTTGTGGTCTCCACTTGTTTTTGTGGAACTGTCTATATTTCTTCCTTCAATTATACAGATTTTTGTTTTATATATTTTGGGGTTCCGTTAGGTGCATTATATGTTTCTAATTATTTTTTGATGGATAACTCTTATCAACACATAATGTCCTTTGTCTCCTTTAACAATTTTTACTTAGTCTATTTTGTCTGATTTTAGTAGAGTTATCTCTGCTGACTTTGGTTTCTGTTTGCACTGAATATCTTTTTCTGTCCTTACATTTTCAATCTATATGTGTAATTGCATCAAATTATGAGTTTCTTTTTAGATAACATATAATTGGATAATTTAAAAAAATCTATTCTTCCAGTCTCAGTGGAACAGTTTTATCATTTAAATTTAAGGTATTTACTAATAAAATGCCATAAATTCTGATGCTAACTAGTAAGAGTTAGGTAAAATTTTATTGGTTTATGGCATATTCCCCACAACATTGCTTTCATTTAACCTGCAAGCTTAGAGTTCCCAGGTAACTTGCACTTCTAACCAATTGACTACCAATTCTGGAATAATTCACCAAAACAACCTACAGAACTCTGGAAAACATTATGGTAGTTTTATTATAAAGGATACGGATTAAATCAGTCAAAGGACAAGACTCATAGGGCAAGATCTAGAAAGGTCTTAAATATGAAGTTTTTGTATTCTTAGGATACGTAACCTTCCCAACACATTGGTGTCTGTCACCAATGAGGAAATTCACTTGAGCTTTGCATATCCTGAGTTTTTATTGGGACTTTGTTATTATGTAGGTGTGACAGAGTGAATCATTGCCATGTGATTTGAATTCAATCTCTAACCTCTTGCCCTGCCCTGGAGGTCAGGCTGATACATAGCTCAAAGTTTCAATCCCTTAGTAATATTATTAGTGTTTTCTAGCACAGTTGTTCCCCATCCTGAAACTGTCTAGGGGCCTACCTTGAGTTAACCTTTGAGCGTAAAGTCATGTGTGATACAAGGGTTCCACCATGAAGAGCACATACATTCCTATTTCTAAGGTCATTCCATGATTTAGAGGCTTCTTCCAACAAACAAGGGACAAAACTCAGCCAAATTGATTTTTATACAACAAAAGAGCTTGCTTCTGACAGTTTGGTATTTGTTTCCTGAATTCTTATGTTACTGCCTTCTTTTGTGTTGGATTGAATTTTTTATTGTATTTTTTTGTTGTTTCCTTTTATATTTAATGAACTTGGTTTCATAGAGTAGTTTTAGATTCACAGAAAAATTGAACAGAAAATATAGACATTCTTTATAAATCCCATTTGTATATATGCATAGCCTCCCTCACATCATCATCTTATACCAGATTGACAGTTTTTTATAATTAGTGAATCTATATTGACACATCATTATCATCCAAAGGCCACTGCTTCCATTAGTATTCACTCTTGGTGTTCTACATTCTATGGATTATGACAAATATATAATATCATGTAACTACCATTATAGTGTCACACAGAATATTTTCACTGCTCTAAAAATTCTGTGTCTGCCTGTTTATACTTCCCTTCCCCCAACTTCCAGCCCTGGCAACCACTAATCTTTTTACTATTTAGGCTTTTTTTCCTGAATGTCACATAGTCAGACTCATACAATATGTAGTCTTTTTAAGTTTCCTTTCATGACTTGACAGCTCATTTCTTTTTACACTGAATCATATTTCATCAACTGGATGTACAAGTTTATCCATTCACTTACTGAAGGACATCTTAGTAGCTTCCAAGTTTTGGCAGTTATGAGTAAAGCTACTACAAACATCTATGTGTGGGTTTGTTTTTTTCTTAGTAGTTACCCTGGTAACTCAGTAGCCTACAGAAACTGTTCTTTTATAGGTGCACCTTCCCCCTCTTTGCATTGCTGTTGTCACAAATTATGTCTGTACCTATATGTTCATTTACATAGGTTATAATTTTTTGCTTTGTCATTTAAATCATAAGAGTTACAAACCAACATAGTAGACTTGATTTTATATTTTCCTATGTAGTTAGTTTATCTGTGTTCTTTATTTTTTTCTTTGGTTTCAAGCTACTGTCTAATGTTTTTTTTCATTTCAATCTGAATAATTTCACTTACACATTTTTCTGAGCAATTCTCTTATTGATGAGCTACTTTAGTTTTTGTTTTATCTGGGAATCTTTAATTTTTCCTTTATTTTTGAGTGATGGATTTGCTACAAATAGGATTCCTGGTTGACAGTTTTTTTTCCATTCACCATTTATCCTACTCCCTTCTGATGGTTATGGTTTCTAATTAGAAATTTATTAGTCTTATTGAAGATTCCTTGTGGGTAATGAATTACTTTTTATAAAATTATCTCCGTTGATTTTTTTTTTTTAACCATTTGATTTAATGTGTCTTAAGGTGAATCTCTTAGTGTATCCTATTTAGAGTCATTGAGTTTCTTGATGTACAGGTTCATATCTTTCATCAAATTTGGGGAGTTTTCAGCCATTATTTCTTCAAATGTTATTCTTTTCACTTTCTTTTCCTTTGGAACTCCATTATTTATATATTTGTGTGCTATCTGGCATCTCACATTTCATTTAGGCTCTGCATTTTTTCTTTATTCTTTTTTCTTTCTGCTCCTAAGACTTGATGATTTCAGCTGAACTATCACCAAATATATTATATTTTCTTCTGCTTGCTCAAATCTGCTGTTGAATAACTCTAGTAACTTTTTTCATTTTATCATATTTTTTCAGTTCCAGAATTTCTCTTTGGCTGTGTGTGTGATTGTGCATGTGTGTATGTGTGTACGTACACACAGTAACATGTGGAAACTGCAAAGCCTTATTCCCCAAAGCATTTCATTTCACTTCCTTGGCTTTTTGGCTTATATATTGTTTGCCCCAACTGAGAGCCTGTGCCCTGATTATTTACTTTTAAATGTTTTTGACATATGCCCTCCAATTAGCTGATTCTCTGCCCTTAGAAATTTGGGTACAATAAAGATAAGCCCTTGGTGTTAGTCCTTTAGGGATCCCACAGACATGTCAAAGCAGGCAACTACAGTTTGAGAATGAGAGTTCTCTATTTGCTCTGGCACCAAGACCCTATACCAGTAACGGAGGCTGCCATCATCAAGCTTTAAGTTGTGTGTATTATTTTTCAAATTGTTAAAATGTCAGTGGTATCTTAAGTCAGAATTGTTATTTAATACATAGCTCTTAGATATAATGTATATCCATGGGACAGTGAAAAATAAATGATTGGAAACATTACAGCACTGTTCCTGAAAATGTTTGGGAATCTTTAGTTTACCTTACATATTATAGTACCTGTTTATCTTTCTAACTGTTTTGTATCTTATACAACTCCTACCATTATTTAAATTAGTTTATGTACTGTCGTCTGTCACAATTAGTTAATGCACAGTCTTTCTCTGTTTAAATGTCTTTGCCTTATTCATCTTCTTACTGTACATATTTTTTTAATCAAAACTGCAATATAGACCTATAAAAACAAAGACCTTATCATCTGCTTACATATAATCGTAGCCACTAACACAGACCGTTTAATACATGCAAAGGGTATTTGTTAAATAATATTCGATAATTAGGCAGGAACTATACTTCTTATCTTACTTTCATCATCTTTTAGCTTAGTGCTGAACACATTATTGATACTCAAGAACTTTTGAATGATTCATTGATTAAAATATGATTTCAAATATTTGAAAATCAATGGTATTTCTAGAAAAGTAATAGAACCACTTTTAAAGTCTTGGCTGATATGACTGGAAAAATTTTCCCTTTTTATTGTAGTCTGTTCTTCAGTTATATAACTTCTTTTCAGTTTGTTTTTCTATCATTTATTTCCTTACTAAACTCTATTTAAAAATCATATAAATCACCATTCTAAAAAAATATCTTACAATTTTTAAGGCAGTTTGATTTTAAAAATGTCTAATTTCCTTAAGCATCTACTGGATCATTAACTGAATGTGGAATAACCAAGAAGAGAAATGGTACTTATAAAGGATTAGAAATGATGAAAGATAAACATGGATAAATACAGGGCATTTTCTAATCTGACTTTTTTTTTACTGCTTTCTATTTGTGGTTTGTCTCATTTAACTCTAGTTTCTTTTAGTGGTTATATGATTATAACATTGAAATTCACAAATTTGTTGTTACTTTGATATAAGGTTAAAATAAGGTTTTTTGCTCTATATTGTGAGATTTTACTAGTTTTTATAAGAGGAGATATCTTCAGAATCAAAAAGAATGTTAATTCAGTTGTACCAACATGTAATACTGAATTATGAATTAGTAAAATAGCTATTAGTTTTTCCAGTCAGTTGAAAGAAATAAGAATACATTTACTTATTTTATTGTAATTCATAGCCTCTACTTAGGAATATAAGCATTTCTTGGATTTGCTTGTTTTAAAAATTTCACATTGTAGGTTATGAAGGTAAAGAATGTAGTTTTAATCTATTTCTAATATGGTTATATGAAGTTGCAACTATGTCATCTCATAAAATAAAGAAACTTCTAGATGTTTAATAAAGATCTTAATGCCCTCCAGGTTTGTTTTGTTCTAAATGAAAGCAGGTGGTAAGCATTGTCATGCCCTGATACATTGAAATTACTAAAATATTTAATAAGCTTCCAGGGTTTGAAGTCGTAGCCAGATGTTTTCAGTTTCCCCAGGATGGCTTTTACAGCTAAACATTTACTATGGAAATTAGCAAAGTTTGCCAGTTTACAAAAAGGCAAATAAAAAACAAATACAAGTTATTTTTTTGAACTAGAATAAAAATGATAACCACTATACTTAATCTGTCTTATCACTTTATAGTAAAATAAGATTTCCACAGCACAATAACACATGAAAAAAACTGAAATTCTACCTCTTTCCCCAACTTTTAATAGGTTTATTGAGGTATAATTTACATTCCATAGAATTTACCCATTTTTAAATGTACAATTTATGATTTTTTAATAAATTATATGATTGTGCCACTATCATCAATATCATTGTGAGAGCAGTTTTATTAACTTTTAATTGACATATAATAAACGACACATATTTAAAATACCTAGTCTTGCTTTCATTATTTCCAACAAGAAATCTGCTACCATCTTTTTTATTATTTTTTTTATTTCTCTGTATGTGAAATGTTTTTTTTCTTTTGCTACTTTTACTGTTTTCTATTTATCACTGCTTTTGAGAAATTGGCTTATGGTGTGGTTTACTTGTATTTCTTTGCTTTGGTATTCCTTGAACTTTTTGGGTTATAGTTTTCATCAAATTTGGAGAATTTTTACATATTCATTTTATATATATATATACCTACATACATATGCATATATGTATACATAGGTGTATACATATGTATATATATCTCTTTCCTCTTCTCCCTGCTGTTCATCAGGAACTTCAGTTACACAAATGAGGCTACATGTTGTTAAATTCATCATTAACATATGTTCTGTTCTTTTTTCCCCCCTCTCAAGTCTTCTTTCTTCCTTTTTTTTTTTTTTTTTTTTGCTGTGTCTTCAACTTCACTAATCTTTTAAATATTTAATCTATCACCAGTTCATTCAGTGTACTTTTAAAGACATCTCAGACATTGTCTGTGAAGTATCTCTAGAAATTTGGTTTGGGTCTGTTTTATTTCATTCATGTATCTGTTCAACTTCTGAACAGATGGAATATAGCTATAATAATTATTTTAATGTCCTTGTCTGCAAATTCTAACATTTATGGCAGGCTACTAACTTTGTGGTAATTGGAACACTGGGAAAAAACAAATACACCTGATAATCTTTGATTAGATGGAAAATATTTTGAATTTTTTCTTGTTGAGTGCTAGATACTTTTTAATTTCTGTAAATATTTTTAAGCTTTGTTCTAGGACAGAGTTACTTATTTTATCTTTTCAGTATTGCTTTTTGACATTTGTTATGTATAACAAGAACACCATTTAGGGGTAATTGTTCTTTCTGCTGTGGGGCAAGACTCTCCAGTGTTCCAGGAATTAAGATTTTCAGTCCTAGTTGGTAAGAATAGGCTTCTTCCCTGTGTACACTGAGTATTGCTGTTTCTGATTTTTCAGATGGTTCCCTTGCCTCAAGCATTTTATTCATAAGCAGGTGCTGATTAGTACTTTGAATAAGGTATGAGAGAGACCTTGTGTGTCACTGAATTCTACCACTCTACCACTCTCCAAACCTTAAAGCGGCATTTTTAATTCTTATATAGTGTAGCCCAAATGATGACAAAGCTTCGTCTCCAGATGGCCTTTTGAACACTTTTAGTATTTATTTGCCTAAGAAAATAGCAATTATTTTATGCTTAATTACAACCTTTACTCATTTGACTAACCTCTCAGAATGGAAAGATAATATGGTAATTTTACATATCAAACAGAACAGTGGTTGTTTATGTAAAAAACCTGTGAAGTCCTTTTCTATGTTAGCTGAATACTAGTAACCATAACTATTATTCCCATTGTCAGACTTATTTATAATTTCTGTATGCTATTTCAATAGATATATTATTTAACTTCATGTTCCCCTTTCAAAGTTCTCTATCCACATAATTCAAGAATTTTTTTCATGTAATTAATAGAAATGAGTATTCAAATATATAAGAGGTTCATGTAACTTATTTTATGCCCTACAGTCAGCTTTGGGGGGTATTGTTCTTTCCTTTAAAAGTTCTTACAGTTTTCTAAAAATTTGCAGTAATTTCTCTGAGTAAAGCAGGAAAGTTGATAGTTAACCTTACAGGTCCTCTAGGAGAAGAGTTTTTGCTATTTTAGAAGATCCTTTTAATTTTATTTTTTTTCTCTTTTTAAATATATAGCAGAAACATAGTTCTATATATTAAGAATTGATATTCTTATTTGTTTTTATTTATGCTACTAGGTACTTTGGAAGTTCGTCTTATGGGCTGCCAAGACATCCTAGAGAATGTCCCTGGACGATCAAAAGCAACATCTGTTGCTCTACCTGGTTGGAGTCCGAGTGAAACCAGATCATCTTTCATGAGCAGAACGAGTAAAAGTAAAAGTGGAAGTAGTCGAAATCTCCTAAAAACCGATGACTTGTCCAGTTCAGTAACCACACTTTTTTAAAGAATATAACAAATGAAAGGGACTAGACAAAGAAATTATCAATGGGGACAGAAAAGAATGGAAGGTGTCCAAGTGGGAAAAAAAAACTTGAAAATTATAATTTGTGTAGTTAAATTTAAAATATTAAAACCTGTAATGATAGGAAGCAAAAGGGCAGCAGAATTTATTTTACTGAAAATGTATGAATGAATGACAAACAATGGTAATTCTTTTGAAAGAATGAAATATTGAAAAATCACTCTTTATGCCCACCTGAAAAATATACAGAGACAATGAGACTTGTTCTTCTTGTAGGATCATACCTTGATTCTTTTAATGGTTTGGTGATACTTCAAAACTAATATTGAATTTTGCATAACTAACTATTGGACCAAACCTGTGTACTGGGATAGCAACCTGCAAGTCAACTTTAATAGGAATCAGAGGGTAAGGATTGAGGAGACTAAAACGAAAAAATATTTAGGAAGCACTTTGGAGACATTGTGAAGTATAGTTGTAAACTATACATAAGTGTATATCTAGGATGAAAAAGCATATGACAATTAAACCTAGTATAGAGTACAAAAGTGAACTTGTCTGTAGTTGATTGTGCTTAGAGGGTTTGTGAAAATAAAGAGTTGTTTGAGGCTGCCAAACTTTAAATATAAACAAGAGTAAACAAAGAAAAACTGGATTTTTGATCATCCATTGTGGCAAACAACGACTGTGAATCCTTTAATTCACATTCTTTTATGTACAAACTAGATAGCAGTTACCATTTGTGTTTTATCAAACAGGATAATCTGGAAGGGTCTAGTGGGAGTATTTATATAGCAATTTAGGATTAAAAAACTAAAGAATTAAATATGAAAAAACATTTTCAAAGAATCTTAAGATTTTTCATTGCTATAGTGGCAGCAATATTAAAGGTTTAAAGTCTTTAAACAAGCTTATAAATTTTAATTACAGATGATGTCTGTGCTGTTTTGAAGCTAGATAATACTGTGGTTGGTCAAACTAGCTGGAAACCCATTTCCAATCAGTCATGGGACCAGAAGTTTACACTGGAACTAGACAGGGTAAGATGAGGAAATTTTTACTTGAATTTTCATTATACTAAAAATTTTGTTTTGAATGTTTTAAATGTTTTATTATTTTGGAAGACTTTAACAGACTTTATTCTTAACAAGAATAAAAGAAAGGTATATTTTTTTGACATTTCTCATGTAGTAAGTTACATAGAAGTCTACTTTTATGTACAGGTAAATATCAGATTCCTATTATAGCTTTTATTTGTGCATTCACTTGAAAATGTGTGCTTTATATTAAACTAGAAAAACCAACAAACCAGCTAAATCTAATATTGTGTTTGTTGTTTTAATAACACACAGTCTAATCACTGAAGTGATTCTTCTGACCCACCATGTTCAGGTTATCTTACCAAAGCTGAGTTTGAAAGGAGCTCTTGGCGAACACTGTGGTGCACACCTGTAATCCCAGCGACTCAGGAGGCTGAGGCAGTAGGATTGCAAGTTCAAAGCCAGCCTCAGCAATTTAGCAAGGCCCTAAGTGAGACCCTGTCTCAAAAAATAAAAAAGGCTGAAGATGTGGCTCAGTGGTTAAGCACCCCTGGGTTCAATCCCCCATATCAGAAAGAAAGAAAGGAGCTCTTATACTCAAGTTACACTCAAGTCTCTTCACTTCCCATGTATCTCAGTGTCTTTCATGAAGATATAAATAGCTAGAATCCATTCTGTGGCTGTAGAACCCAATTGAAATTAACTTGTCACAGTATATTCAATAGATATACAATGATGACTTGATCTTAGATTCAAATTCATTTTTTGAGTATGGGATGAAAATGTTAAAAATCAATCATAACTTTATCTGAAAATTAAAGAGTTTAAGCTTTGTGTTATATCATATTCAGAAAGCAGATTTATAAGGCTTAATGGTGATGTAATCTATGAAAATATTTTGGCTGTTATCGCTCCAGCTTTTATTAAGATATTTTTCCAATAAAGTCTTCAAAGCAAGCATACTAGCTCAGACCTTTATTATTGCTTTTCTTGGTTCAAAATTATGTCAACCACTTAAATGTTACATGTACTTAACAAAATGCTTAGCCTGTTGTGTAGTCCAGTTTTCGAATCTTTTATGTTATCTATTTCAGTGAGATGTGTGAGGATCGAATCTATGTTAAAACTAGGCACTGTGATGCATCCCAGCAATTTGGGAGGCTGAGGAAGGAGGATTGCAAGCCTGAGGCCAGCTTCAGCAACTTAGCAAGATCCTAATCAACTTAGTGAGACCCTGTCCTAAAATAAGAAGGGCAGGGGATGTAGCTCAGTGGTAAAGAACACCTGTGTTAGTTTCATCCCTGGTACCAAAAAAAGAAAAAAAAAATGAAAATGACTAATTGGGAGATTTTACATGTAGTAAGGTTATTGAGAGAGTTGTATATTTAAAAAAGAGAACTTAAAATAAATTGGGTCTTGCAGTCATTGAAGTAACTGAGAAACCAGCATAGTTACATATAAATAAATTTTAGAACTACTATAGACTTTCAGTGTCCTGCTTCTAAAGGTATGTTCTTTTCCCTATGATAATTTGAATGAGATATAAAGATAGAGGTGGCACAGAGAGAAAAGTACAAAAAATGGTGAATGCCTGGAAAGAGAAAATAGTTTATAATTATCTAAACTATTAGTTTAGAACACTAGAAAGTCTCTGATAACTATTGGCTGTTCATAACTTGAGATCTACAACTAAAATTATTTTTCTACTCTATGATATCAGACATTTTTTCCCACTTGGAGTTGTGCTCCCTTTGAAACTTTGAAGACACTGCATGGCTTAGTAAAGCCATATTCTCAAACCAGCTAGTCCTTATTGCTCCCAGTATTCCTATTCCTTGCCCCTAATTTGATTATAAACTTCTTGGCAGAGACCACATTTCCTATTACAATAGTTCTTTATGTTTACATAGTACATTTTACATTTACATGTGCTTTTTACTCTTTTATTATTTCTTATAATGATAGAATATTTATTTATGGAAAATGTTTATAGAAATATAAGTCTTGGACTACTCCTGTTGTACTAGCTATAGCTATATAGGATGCTGCGGTTCTGGGAGGATCACTTGCATCCAGGAGTATAAGACCAGCCTGGGCAGTTTAATAGAGAGACCCTGTCTATAGATAGATAGAGATTGTAGATGAAATTTAAAGGTAAGTGCACTTGCCTAGCATGCATGAGGCCCTGCGATCTATCACCATCACCATTGAATAAACAAAGAATGAAAGAAATCAATAGTTCTTCTTAAAATTGTAAGATAATTGTAGAAATGACCTAGATCTAGAATTCTTCTAGAAAAATTAAAATTATATTCCAGGGAGTTCCAGTGTTCTGTAAAATTGTCTCAGGAGGTAACACGGAGTCCTTTTTGTTTTGTTTTGGAATTCTATGTAAGATGTCATTTGGATTTTGCCACTTAAAATGTTTTTTAATTGCTTATGTACTTCAGCTCCTATATTGTGCAAATTAAGGAAATTATGGTTTAAAGGTTAAATAACTAGCCTAGGGTATAATCCAGAATTCTTAATAGCTACGGACTAATGGTTCTGTATTATATCAAGTTTCTCTTTTATTTTCTTATAAAACCGGTCTTTTTTATATTATAAACATGATAGCTGAGTACAGTGGTATATACCTATAATCCCAGCTATTCAGTAGGCTGAGGCAGGAGGATTGCAAGTTTGAGCCCAGCCTGGACAACTTAGGGAGACCATGTCTCAAAAAGTAAAAAGGGCTGCAGGTGCATTTCAGTAATAGAGAACCTCCTGGTATTCAGTTCCTAGTACTGCTCAAAAAGGGGGGGGGGGGGCTGTGCAATTTCTCTTTTTCCTTGAATTTCCTCCCCTTTCCTGTGATAACAAGTTTGATCAAGCTATCATGGGAGATTGAGATCATCTTAGATGCTGGGTTTTTAACTTGTAATGAAGCTATAATGGTTTTCACCTTCCTTTGGCTCTTCCAGATTCTTCTATTAAATAATATATCATGAACATGTCATATCCTCCTCAGACTATGTGACTCCTTGGGGATCATCAACTATATATAAAATCAGTTAGTTTTTTTTTTTGGCTCGGGGATTAAATCAGGGACACTTTACCATGAAGCTACATCTCCATTTAATTATTTAAGACAGGGTCTCTCTAAATTACTGAATCTAGCCTCAAATTTATGATCCTCTTGCTTTGGCCTCCTAGGTGGCTGAGATTACAGGTGCGCACCTCTGTGTCTGGACCTTTTTGTTGTTGTTCTTTGTTTTTATCATTTCTTGACCATCAGGCATTCTGCTAAATTCATTAAGGATGACTTTGTTTTTCCCTTTGCTCTAACATTTGCCATTGTTAGGAGGGACTTAAAACACACAACCCATTCAACACACCCTTATTTCAAATTTCTTGTAACTCAGCTCCATTGTACTTTTATTCCTGGGTTATTTTAGCAATAAATTTTTCTATTCAACTTAAATCTGTTGTTTTCATTCAAAATTATTTTAATTATACATATTTATGTAATATAGTATGATAATTTGATACATGTATGTAATGAAGAATGATTAGGGTAATTAGCATTTCCATCTCTTTAAACATTTATCATTTCATTGTGTTGGGAATCTTCAAACTCCTCCTGTCTAGTTTTTTATAAAATATATAATAAATTGTTGAAATCTTAAATTCAGTATTCCAAACTTTCGCTACCAAATCTCTTGTTCTTCTAAATGAGATAACTGCATAAAACACCTAAAATAATACCTGTACATGATAGTTGAGTAGTAAATGATAGCTCTTATTACTCCCGGCTTTGTTTTATTACCATAAAGCTAACTATTTAATCACATATTTTCATTTCCTTAATATTCTAGATATTTTTTATGTTATTAATTCCTTCCAAACTTCATTTCCTTTTCCGTGCACCCTAAAATCAGTGTTATTCGGAACTGTTTCCTTGCTGATGCCCCCCACAACATCCTTCGACCTTGTCTTTATACCATACCTGCTGTGGAAACCTAAAACAGCATATTATTCCTGCCATGTAGCTTTTCTACTTTCATATGCTAAGTGCTGCTGAAGTTAGTAATACTTACAGTGTGTATTTTAGTTTCCACCCTCAGTAAGGCTTACTCTAAAAGTTAATTGTACATTTCAAATCCAACTCTTACCAGTAATTTTTGTTTCCCCCATCTCATACTCCTTTACTTCTGTTTTAGATTAAGCCCATTAGACTTCATATTCCTGCTACCATTCACTAAATTTTCTGCATCATCATCTTGGTTTCAGAGAAAGAAGTCTGTCTCATTCCTATTAGAGTCTGTGATCTAAATTGTCTTCTAATTCCCATTCTTTGTAATCTCTTGAAACCTTCTTCCATCAATTATACCTGCTGTGACCTATATATCTTAACCTCATTTCCTCTTACCTTTGATTATTATTACATGTTTGCATTCCTTCCATTATTTTATTTTATTTTATTTTATTGCTTCCTTGTAGCTCTATTGATCGGCTTCTCACAAACAAGATTCTTGAAAAAGTTAATCATGTTCACATACTACATTGGAGCTTCTGTTGCTGTAATAGGTTCTAAATAAGACACATTATATATAGTTTCTCGTTTAATCCTTTCAGTAATCTTATGAGATATATATAATTATTTTAGCTGTTCTAGGGATTACTGATGTCCCAAGACTTCTAATTTTTCTCAGGCCACACAGCTAGAAAGTGAGAGAGCTGAGAATCATCACAAGTATCTTGACACTAAAGCCTAGTCTGTCTAAAATAAAAGTCTGTGTTCTTCATTATAGCTTACTAACTTGTCTGTTTCTCATCCTTCTGCCTGGGTAAATTTTTTTAATTGCGTATTACAGTAAGAAAAATAATAAAAATTTAGTGCTGGGCTTCTGTTAACTTTTAGTTCTCACACAACTCTAGACAACAAATAGCATATTATTGTGCATATTTTACAGGTAAGCAAACTGAGGACCAGAAAGGTAAAAGTAACTTGTCTAAAG